CCTTGAATATCTTATATAAGAAGTAGCTGCTAAGAAAGCTTCCCCCAGGACAGAGTACAACTGGATTCAAAGTTCCTGTAAGAAAATGGACATTTTCTCATCATTAAGGATCAATGTGTTTCCTAGCAAATACTTAGGATCATACAGCACAACCAGTCGTGTAGAATAAAAGCTGTTTCATAGCACATAAGCTAAAATGCACAAAAAGTGAACATATTTTATGCAAATATGCCCTCTATGGATTTACCTGATGGCACTATAATTTGGAGCACAGTAAAAATCCCTATAAAGTCTGTCTCAGACAGCAGGAATCCAGTAGTTGTTAATCCTGGAGGATTTTTAAGACCATTATGAAAATATTTTTGAGTAGTCCAAACAGTTACTTTTGAGAGCTGAGATCATTACTAAGCAATATATATATTTTAAATGAGTTACTGAAAGATTTGCTTCTCAGGAGGTAGTGCTAGTATGTTCGCTTGGCAAACTGAAAAGACTTTTATGCAAGAAATACAAAAGTAGAATTTGACAGACTGCTCTTTATAGTCTAATCAAAATGGTTACTGGGATGCTTTGGTTTATGAAATGCACACAAATTGCCCCACTCTGCCAAGATTTCCACTCATTAAAACACAAGGAGTATACAGCTGAAAAGTCAATGCAGACAAAATACAGTTTGCTCCTAATTTGACTTGTCATATTCAAACCTAGGTAGAGTTCCCTAAAGGTATATTCAGCATTATTTGTTTTAGGTTTAATGAGATGCCTGGTTTCTTTAATATCAAGCTTTGCTATTTACAGATGAGCTTATAGCAAACTGCCCAGTTTTTATTTCTCCTCAGGTCTGCTCAGGGTTTCTGTCTTGGTAGTTGGGATAGAGCTTTGTAGTAGGCAAAGAGCACAATCACAGGTGCCTTTTATTTGTTCAAGACAGGCCTGTCAACACCTTATGTTGCTATTCTGAGTATTTCATAGAAAAAACCATCCTTTCAATGAACCTTAAGCTTTACACGTGACAAGCCGGAATAAGCACAGCTGCCGAGGAGTCCTCACATTGCTACATGCAGCTGTCTGCCACCAAGTCAGAGAGAGACCACAGGAACACTCTGCCCATCGGATTAATCAAAAGGAGTTTCTTGCCAGGGAACCATGCCTGAGACAACCACCCCTCGCCTCTGGATAATTAAATGAGTAACTGTGAAGAGGAGAGGAAGGAGAGGAGGCCACACCGAAGTAACTCTCTTCCCACTCAGCATATACCCCCTTCCTGCTGGTTTTAAATATGAAGGACGACTTTCTTTGTAAGCCAAGAAATTGTTTGCTGAGCAGCAAAACTACAGCAGCTGTTTCCCTGAGTACTTTTGTCCTACAGACCAACACTCTACCTTTCCCCAGGGCACCTGGCTGCTTCTTTCCCTCCCAACCACACACAAAGTGTCTTTCAGCGCCCTCCTGGGCTCCTAAAACCCCTCACCTCTCTGGGGACTACAGGACTCGCTGCCTTCCATTTGGAGGGGGCGACTTTCACCTAGGCCATTCTCCGCTGTTTTACACAAACCATTTGGGAAATCCATGTTCTCAAAAGTCTCCAACTCTATCAAATTTAGGTGAGCTAGGCAATAAGTCCAAACATCTTTAGGGAAAGGAAACAGGCAGTTGGACAGACTGTGTGAACATAGGTCTTATTTCCTTCTCAACCCCAGTTAGATCTAGCCTTCAGAAGTGCTCTTAATACTAACCTAAACTTTGCTGAAATAAATGCTCAAATTACATTTTTAGTAGCCTTATGATAAACATGGTGTTTTTGCAAAACCTCAGATTTCAATACAAAAGAGTAGTAAGGAACCAATTTTTCAAACATCCAAACAAATGAATGGAAGTAGGTGGACATCCAAACTTAAAGACTCAACAGATTTTGAGTCTATTTTCACATAGAGATGTAAATAAGAAGACTCTACACAATGACTTGATGGAAATGCAAAATTTTACACCTCCAAAATGTATGCCATGGAAAATTGAAGATCCCATCTAAATTCCTGCCAAATTCGAGGTCCATATGTGCAGTGTATTGCTGCTATGCAGTAATCTGAATTTTGAATTTAAGGTGTTATTTTTCTGCTGTGGCAGAGCATGTTCAATGCACACAGACTCATAGTTGGAGGGAAAACAAGAAAGCAAGAGAGTGCAAGAAAAATATTGGGGGAAAAAAAAGCCGCAGAAAATAAGGAGCACGAGTGTCAGCTGTCTGGATAATATAAGTTCTCAGCTACCCTGGCAAGCACCCCGCGCACTGCCGAGCTGGCTGCAGGTAGAGCGGCGCTGGCAGCCTTTGCAGCTCTGCCAGGAGATTTCATTCACAAGCTCTGTAGGGGGAAGTCAAGAAAATCAATGCCGCTTTTTCCATCTGGGTACCCACAAGACCATGTGGATGAAATCTGCCAATATTGCTAAATGGCTCCCCGGGCGGGATGATGCTGTAATTACTGCAATTTCCTTCTCCCTTCCTCATGTTCAGTTTGCACCTTCTCAGCTACATTCAGGCCAGCACAGCTCATCCTCAGCTACCAATAGAAGTCACTAATTTTAAGCAAACTAATTACAATCAGGCAGAATTGTGCATTATAGAGAAGCACATAGATGAGCCCAAGGAAAAGTGAAGCCTTCAGACTTAGATATAGACATTTGAAGAAGGGTAAATAGGTACATGGACACACAAACCGCTTGGTGAACTGCACAGTGAGAAGCTGATCAAGTCTATTCGCTTTCAATGATTTCCTCGTTTACAGATTTGTACCCCTTATGTGATGCTGCAGTTCAAAGAGGCATTTTGAAACAGAAAAGAGAAAGGGCATCAGCTAAGCATAAGTTCAAGTGCACAAGCTTTCCCTTAGCCAGGCCCTGGAGGCTCGTAGTCAGTCCTGGTAGCCATTGAGGGTGACACCTGTCTGCTGAGAACATCAATCCAGTACCCAACTCTTTTCACAGCTGCAAGAGACCCCCAATTGGGGATTTTTAAATGTTATTAGCATAATAGCCCACATAGGTAATAGCTTAGAGATGCTTGCTACCTTGTACAACAGCTGTGGCCGCTTTCATCAAGCACCAGCACCTCTATTCCTTCTCCCGTGATCCCTGCCCAAGCATCACTGCAGCACCCGCTGCCTGTAGCCCCAGCCTCTCCTTTCCAGCTCTGCAGCAGCTCCAGATTTTTTCATTCTTACTCTTGGCAGGAAAGGTACCTTTGCTGCCTAGTAGCCAATTCTTCATTCAGCAAAACGTGGAGCAAATGTGCAGTGACAGCCTGTTGCACACTAGTTTAATAGTCCATAAAACAAAAGGCAACTGACAGAAGCTTGTGGAAATTCAGCATTTTGTATTTAAAGCTATTCAGCTTTACAGAATGCAATGGTTCATTCTGCAGTTAGATTTTCAGAGATGTGTGGCTTTGTGTTGAGCAGCATTGTTGTATTTTAAGTCACTTTCAGAATTCCGTTGAAAGATCCTTTGTGAAGTAAGGAAGAAGTTCACTGCAGATGCTGCAACAAGACTTGTTAATGATGCAAATATCCCACTAACCTCAGTAGAGAAGTTGCTGCACCAAATTCCTCTAGAAAGTCAATAGCAGATTTTAAGAGATGCAACATACCAGCAATTTAAATCAATAATAATATTTTTCTCTAGCAAGTATGTATTCCTAAAATCATAAAATCCATTTAAGCTCTTAATTATCAAACTGAGTTATCTTCTGACCACTAGCAGGGCTGTGCTTCTGCATGAAGGAAAAGTGTTTTGTATTAGACAAAACATCATGTGTAAGACAACAAAACAAGATTTCAAAATTCAAATACAGATTTGGAGATATCTTGTCCCAGATTTCCCAGCGTCTTTCCAGAATCTCCCTCTGCTCCTTTTTCACGTTCCCTTGTAGGACTAAGTTGCACCATTTTTCCCCCACATTTCTTTCTTCTCAGTGCTGGTCCTGTGTTTCCCTCAGTTACTCTCCTCCTGCATTTCCTTTCCACAGTCTCCATAACGGCTCTTTGGGGCAAATCTTTCCATCTCTTCCCGCACGACCAGCGAAAGCTTTGGCACAGCGAGGAGAGGACCAGGAGCACAGGACCAGGAGCATGGAAGAGCAGCAGGAGCAGCCTATGTGGTCCCCGGCAGGCAACTTCACCTGGCCACGAGCTCCGTGCGCCGCAGGGAAGAGCTCCCTTTCTCCCTGGGGCTGAAGATGGCACTGCAAACCTGCTGCAATCCCTTTGCTTCAGATGCCTTCAAGGATTTCGTGCCTGTGGCCGTGTGGCTGCTTGCCCAGTAGACACTGCCTCAGGCCTCTCCCCCTTCGTTAAAAGCATCTCTGGGGCTACGGGACCAGTGCCAGGTTTTTACGGTTGCCCTCTCCCCCATTCCCACTGGGGGCTGCCTCTCCTGAGCCTGCCAGGAAGACTTCTCGTAAACCATACAGAAGAAGGTAAAGAGCTGCAGATGCCAAAAAAGTCCTTTCCACCCAGACTATTTAGTTTCATAAGAGCGTGTCGGGGTCAGGCATCATTCCCCTGCCTGCATTCAATTCCTATGAAAGTTTTAAAGACGCTTTGAAGAGAGCTCTTAGCAGTCTTCTTTTTCAAGTTGCACATTAAACACAAGAAATGACATTTGAAGAACTGCTTTTGTATATATTAGTCTCTAATCTCCTAAAAATAAGCTAATCAGATGCAAAAACTCTATTTCCCAACAGCATTCAATATGTCATCTTAATACAGACAACTTTCCAGGCAGCAGGTTTTCCCCAACAGCAGAGAATTAGGAAGCCATCCTCATGAAAATAATACAACAGTGACAAAGTTATTCCACTGCAACACAGTCAAGAAGCCTCCAAACGGGAGCTTGTGTCTGGGTGTTGAATGTCACCTGCAGCTGTTTGCAAAACTAACAGAAAAGGTGACTTCACCTGCCTACCTGCGGTGTCCTGGCAGCACCTCGGGCAGGTCGCTCCCCTCTCCTGGCCTTGGCGTGCCGGAGGGCATTTCACCAGGAGCAAGAAGCACTTTCAGCTCAGTCTCCATCCAGGCTCGGGAACATAATCAGAATGGGAGCCAGGTGATGGAGAGAGCTTCAAGGAGTCACGGCGTGCTGAAGGAGAGCAAAAGAAGCCACGCGGCTGCTGGCCGAGCGTCCTCACCTCCCATTGCTTCTGTCGTCTCCACTCACTGTAACTGTAAGAAGAGCAACACGGAAGGGAAATACTTTCTGTCTGCGAGCTTCCTTATCCCACTACATGGGAACAAGAAGTTTATTGTAGGTATAAAATATTGCAAATATAAAATGAATAGCTTTGCATTTTTTTCTTCTTTTAAGACTCTTCCATAACAAGGATGTAAAATCTCTGCTCTATAATACTCAAAGTCATTTTGAATTTATTTATGCCATGAAAATAAAATCATCATCTCAGGAAAATAAAACCCCATAGCTCAACATAAAATAACTAGTGTGTTGCTAGTTAATTTTCTCCAGAAGTATTAAAGTGCTGTTCAGCTGAATGAGAATTCAGCCAGGGATGAAGTACCAAAAGGGACGATTTCACCCCCAGGTTCATTTATGCAAAAATAAAGGTACTATTTCCCCCCAGCAGCACTAAAGCAGCACACAGTGGACAGCAAGGAGTGCGCCCTTGCAAACCCTCCCTTGTTCTTGGATGAACAAAGTACAGCAAGGTCTGTCAAAGACACTTAAAAGTGTTTGAGTAACCACAGTGGCTGTGACCTGGCAGGCCTATGACTTTTTTCGTTGATTAAACTTCATTAAAGGTGAAAAAACTGCATGCCATGGCAAGGGAGGAGAGAAGGAAGCACTAACAGGCTACTTTCCAAGCAGATTTCCCAGAAACACAGCAATTAGTAGAGTGCCTTAGAATTGCTTTTTGTGCACTTCTATTTGTTATGTCACAGAGTGTCAACTGAAAGCTTAATGAATCATAGAATGCAGCATTTTTATGATTATTTCTTCTAATCCAGATCTTTCTGAACACACAGGCTGTTCTGCAGTACTGCATACGCAGCCCTGGGAAGGAGCTTCCCCTTGGCCAAGGTCACACATTCCAAACAAACAGCTCTGCGAGCAGAGCTCCTTAGGAAACCTGGTCTGCCATGGACCTTATCTGAAGTTGAGTTTATTGGTAGCAAACAGGGTGTGGATTTTAAGTGAAGCTCTTCCTGCAGTCAGTATACTCCTACCATAGCTCCTGATACACAGGAACTTGTGACTTATATAAGGTTGAAACCTCATCGGAGGGACTCCCCATTGATAGGGATACCCAGTCTCTCTCTCCCTCCCCCCTCCCCTCTGTCTGGCTTTTGATTTTTATGATTTGGGGGGATTTTAATGGCTTACAGACCACTGTTACCACTCTAAAATGTGTTTAAACTTGGCTAGTGTGTTAGAAAGCTGCCACAGCAGGACAGAGGCAAGACAATGTCCACAAACAGTCGCATAAGCCTTGTTTCCTTAGAAAACCAGACCAAAAAAAGTTCCAAACCCACAAAAAAAGGAAATTATAGAGAAAGAAAAGCATGATATAAAGAATATGCTAACAATGGCCAAGAAAAACACCTCCCACTCCTATCAACAGCAAACAAATCTATACAGAAGTAGAGTCTTGAGACAAATTTTGGTCACAGATTAGAAACATCTTCAAAAAAAATCTCAGCACAAGACAAGCAATAATTTGTCCTTCTCACACACTAAAGCTGACTTCTGAAGCACATGCTTTATCATTATAGTATCTATAAAAGACATATTAAAAGAATATTATCTACTGAATGACATTTCTTATTGTAGAGGTAGAAAGATATCAGTAGAGGTCCATGTTAGTTTTATCTCAATCTTGGAAATAAGTTTGGCACAAGAAAGTTAAGTAACGAAATGATGATTCAGCCTCTTAATGGTATTTTGTGTCTGCTAAGCCATACAGTTCTCTTTCCTCTGTGTTTTTCATCAAGATCAGGACCAAAACCAACATTCAGAGAACAACTCTTTGGTGTGCAGAAGCTCAGATCTGGACATGCACAAATTAAGCACTAAGCAAGATGGAACGTGATACATACAATTTTTAGATCTAGGTTGGGCTGAGGTGATACAAGAAAATCCATGCGACTATTCCACCTCTAGGTGAAGGCAGAGGAACAGCAGATTTGCAGTTTAGGTCAGGTCAGGTCAGGTGTCTACATTTTTCCCTTCAGATACTACAGACAGCATAGAGTACACAAGGACTGGACACATACTCCAACATATAGGACTTTCCAAGGATCCAACTTAGTAATCTTGTCTAAGGCAGACAAGATCCTACCTGTATCCTACCTTGCATCCTCATACCTGTAGTTCTCGTAGAATTTTATTTACCCTTTTCTCTCCTCCTTACCAGTTATCACAGTGGAATAGCAGCTTAGACACTGGTGGAAAGAGGCGAGATGTCAAGATAAAGATGCACTGTCTTCCACACACAGAGACAGCAGCACTGTGCACTGCATTCAGCACCATCCCTGCTACTGCATATCTACAAAGGACGTGACACTCGGGGCTTTCATGCAGACCTCTGCATAAACAGGAGAAAACTCACTGTGGTCTCCGCTGGAGCAAGCTTTGGTGTGCGATGTGCAAGATAAACAAGACTTCAGCTGCTGAACTGGTCGCTGGCAGCTTTTACAGCATTTTTTCCTGTACTGCCCACGCGGCCGCCTGTGCTGCACAACGTCCTTCACCTGGATGCGACTGTGCTGACGGCAGCTCTGCTAAGCGCTGCTGCAGCGTAAGAAACACGAGGTGCTGCACTTCTCAGTACTCAACTTGGTAGGTAGATTAAATTTGATACTGGGAGATGAAACTATAAAACCAAAGGTTAAGCGATCTGGAATACCATCTGAAAGAGGCACATTATGTTCTTCATTCCTCTCCTTTCCTTGCTTCCGAATTAGCTGCACTGTTAGCATTAAATTTTAATACTCTCAAAGTTTACACCTTGCAGCATATAGGTGAAATAGAGAAATCACACAAAAAAAATTGACTGTATCTCACAGAGCATCCTTTAACTTACTAACAATACCGCACTCCTCCTATAAATGTCTGTGGAGCTTTATTTTTCTGAGGGTAATGTGACAATTTTTCTCTCCAGCTGCCCAGGTATGTGGAAGCAGTCAGCTCTGAAATTTGCATCCAGTGAAGTGTTACTGAAGTGCCTAATTTCAGGAGTAACGTAAGTGGGAGCTCGTTATAAAGGTAGCATTTGTCCCAGCTTGCAACAGTGACGCTTTGTGGCTCTAGCAGATGAGCCGTGCTCCCCGCCACAGGTTTGTTTTTCTGATGCCTCCTCTCCCGGGGATACAAAACCCCCAGCAAGGGGCAGTGACCACTATAACTGCTGAGAGCAAAAACCAATGTTCACTTGGACACTATCTGAAACCCAAAATACCTTATTTTCTTTCCTTATCATCATTCTGTCCATTTTCTGTGATGTGGATCGTCATATCAGTTACATGGAACCCTAGAAGTACTAATTTTTTTCCAAAACGTAAGCAGAACAGGTAACATTATTTCACTCTTTCCTTTCACGTCTAAGGGCCTTGATCTACTTGTGGCAAATATGTTACGGCTTAATCTGAACATAAGTTTGTTTTTAACATGTACATTTTTCAAAATATGCACACTGGACCTGGAGTAGCCCAGAAATACCAGGGTATTAATAAAGACAAGAATTTTATTGTTCTCATCTCCAGAGTATTTGCAACTTACCTATCACATTTGAATTATTATTCTCTCATCTCTAAATGAGAGTCTGCCAGATGCCTCTGTCTCTTGAACTGCTCCTTGGTATGCTAGATCCAATACAAGCATCAGCATGCATTAATATTTCTATTTTTGCACCAAGCACCAGCTCATAAAATGACAAATATGATAGTACAAAAACAGAATTTAATTGAGGCTGCTGCTGATGGGAATCATATTTTTCCTGGTGAGAAGCGAAGAGATTTTGATGAGATCTAAATAGAGCGAAGTTCTTTGTTACCTGCAGCTTTGGGGATTCATGTGAGCAGTCATTGATCTTTGCCCCCTTATTTCCTCCAAGTATTAGCTATTAAATATCTCTGCTCAGGACTCATCTTGATTTCTTGCTTAGAGGAGAATATACTATAGAGACTTGTTACATCCCCAACTCCTCCTTTTATGTGTGTGTGATTGTATCTCAAATAGAATCATGGAATCCTTAAGGCTGGAAGGAACCTTTGGAGATCATCTAGTCCAACCGCCCTGCACATGCAGGGTCACCCAGAGCACGGGACACGGGGCTGCATCCAAGCGGGTTTGGAAGATGTCCAGAGGAGGAGATTCCACAGCCTCTCTGGGCAGCCTGTTCCAGGGCTCTGTCACCTTCACTGTTAAGAATTTTTTCCTTAAGTTCCCATGGAACTTCTGGCACTTCAGTTTGCGGCTGTTTCCTCTAGTTCTATCAGTGGTCACTGCAGAAAAGAGGCTGGCCCCATCCTCCTCACTGCCTCTCTTGAGGTATTTAATGACACTGATCTGTTCCCCCCTCAGCCTTCTCTTCTCCAGGCTGAACAGGCCCAGCTCCCTCAGCCTTTGCTCACAGGGCAGATGTTCCAGGCCCCTGATCATCCTCGTAGCCCTGCAATGAACTCTCCCCAGCAGCTCCACATCCCTCTTGTGCTGGGGAGCCCTCAACTGGACACAGGTCTCCAAAATCCTGTTGCCAAGACCAGCGACACAGCCACTTGTTAACCTGTAATATCTGCCTTCTCCTCATATCCACTGCCCTCATTGGCAGGATAGAGGAGAACCCAGCCTGGGCTCCCAGACCATCCCTAGGGCTCTGAAATCTCATTTGATGTTTCTTACTCTCTCCGTGGCATCATTAGTGCCCACATGAAACAGGGAATAACAGTCAGATGCCTGGAGGAGCCTTGACAGCCTCTCTGCAACATCCCTTATTCGAGCCCCTGGCAGGCAGCAGACCTCTCTGGATAAGGGATCCCTTCAGCATCATCCCTGAGGATGGTGCCTTAGGGCCCTTGAGGGCGAAGATATCTCCTTTCCCATCACAGACCATCACTCTGGTGGGTTTGGTTTATGTCTCCTCACTTCATGACTTGAAACTCCTGCTTCTGTGGCAGCAAAGTCAGGCCAATGTAGGATGCTTTCCAGAACTCCAGTGTCCGAGACACATTTTCAAATTAAAAAAAGGCTTCAAACTCCGGCAGTTAAGGACAAAAGCATTTCAACATCTAGTCCACACAGTCTGAAGGCTCACGCAGAGAGCCTTGGAGCTCAATTCACTTACTCTCTGGCTCACTTCTGTAGCCTCCAGCTTACTGTGTGTGTTCCCTCTTAACACTGCAAGATTGCGTCTGAGCTTTCACTGAACTTTCTGCCAGCTTTAAGGTTTTTAGTTACCTTCCTAAAAGTTTCAAAACGGAGAGGAAAAGAAAAATAAACAACAGGTTTCCCCCTGCTTTGAATGTTATTTTGGAACCCTTTGTTGATCAATGTTGCTCAAGAAGATTTTACTGTTACTCCAATAAGCAGGAAGCTCAAACTTTCAACAGATTTGAAGTAGTGAAAGCAAACCCTTAATTAATTTCAGGAGCGCAGAGTCAAGTCAAACTATTCTTCTGCAGGTTCAAAAGAAGACAGACTGAAAAACGCTTTGATTCATCTGTCATTTACACTGCCCTAATATACATGGACTACAGAGCTCCTTATGAGCACAAGCTCAGACTAAAGAGGAATTCTCCAAGCTCATTATACAGTACTTGCAAATGAGTTGAAGAGCTTAGTCTTTGATTTCTGGAGTTGCCAACACAGGCTCAAATCACAACCCCCAGCACAGCCTGCTTAACTAGGCCATACACCAAGGAAATCAACAGGAGGAAGTTTTCCCTCCATAGCAGACAGGGTATCCAAAGAGCTGCTTTGCACTTACTGTTCAGTGATTCATCTTTAATATTCCTCATTCCTTTCTCGCATCTCTTTCTGCCAGGTTGAGGCGTAGGCAAGCACCAGAGCAGTGTACCACAGCACTGGCTGAGGTGGCAACTTCATTCACGGTCATGGCTAGAAAAATCAAGTCAGCTTATGAGTCTTTTCTCTCCCTCATGAGAGGAGCCCATTTTCATTTGGAAGGGCTCTTCCAATACAATGTAAGGCAAGCACAGAGGATTAAATCCCTGGCTAACAGACTGACATAAACCAATTGCCTCCGAGCACTGTAGCCGTATTAGAGCTGGCCCAGAGCTGCTTCAGCCTTGCTCTAGTCATCACCTAATGCATCATTAGTTACTGTTGGCATACCTAGGACTCCTTTACTTCATTCCCAGAAGGCAAAATGTCAATGGAGTTGCATGATTGAATAGTAATCCTCCATGTGATTTACATTTATGTGATCACTGCACACTCAGTGTGTGAGCTCTACCTTTCTGGCAGCTTCACCACACTGAACAGCCAGAAAACTCAGCAGTTGGGTCAAATTTTATAGCTATATAGTTAAAATCAGAGGGAAGCCTCTCATTGACTCAACAGGAATCACTTTAAGGTACAAGCAGGGTGTTTAGGGCGGGGTCTCAAAATGCCCCACTGCTAACACACAGCCCAAGGGCAAGTCATCCTTTTGGTAAAGCCCTGCATTTAAGGCTTTACCCTAAATTAAAGACAATGTCATCCTGAAATAGCCACCACCTGTGGTTTTCAAGATGAGAGCACAAGAGAGCTTATTGCAACAGGATTTACAGTTTCTCCCACCTTAAAGCAGAAGGATGGTCTAGATACCCTGTGATACTTTTTATCACCATTAAATCAAACAAACCATTAAAAAACATGGGAACTAATCCATTTCTTTAACCCACAGTTGAGAAGCTAGAGGCACCTTAATCTAAAATCATAGTCTGTACTGTGGATTTGCTGCTCAGACCCACAAGATTCGAGCCTCTCCCTCATCAGCCCAGGTTCTAACAGTGGCACGTGGCTTGTCCAGAGCGCTCGGGTGAACCTGTGTTGCAGGTCCTGGAGCTCTAGTGGAACAAAGCAGATGGGCCAAAGTTGAAGGAAGAAGTTGGATTTCGGATTAGGTGGACTGGGAACACCCCAGGGCAAGATGGATCCTCAGGGAACCAGAGCAAGTTGAGCAAGATGACAGCTCAGTGCATGACCAGGCCACCCCTGTGAACAGACAACCTCAGAGAGGAGCTGACGACCTCATCAGATTTTAAGCAACCAGAAAAGGGAATTAAAATGAAGTTCAGAGTTGTATTTGCTTTGACTCAATCCACTGAATTTACGGCAGTTCAATATGGGAGCCCAGCATTCATTCCCCCTTAAATCATCTGCTGAGGGGGCTTTTGTAAAACAGAGTATTTTAAGCATTCAAAAGACAAGTTTACACAAGCAAGAAGCCATCATACAAAACTTTTACATCAGGGCTCCACAGAGAGAAAAGAAGACGAAAAAAAAGGTTTTTGAAAGTTTCCTTCATCTGCTTTGTCAATATCTTTAGAAGTATTAAAACACTCTGATGTGATGATGTAATTCATAGCATTCCTGACTAAAATTCCGTGTGAAATCAAGCTGTAATTTTAAATTCCCTTTTCAATGAACAAGACTAGAAATTAAATACTTAAGTATTGAATCCATGAAGTGGAATATTCCACATCTACAATTAAACACTGAAGGAAGTCTGTAGTTTGCTCACATTATCTTGTTCCACAGTCATTATCAGAATACAAGAAGAATTATTTGGTTTACACATTTGGCAGCTGTATCAATGAATGCAGAAAGCCTCACTGTTACATAAAAATTAGCTCTGACTGCAGCAAGCAATTCCTTTTGCTACCACTGCTACAAAAAAAAATAAAAAAATAAAGACATAGCACAAACATGCCTCTCCTTTGTTATCCTAACTTTGCTTTCAGAAAACGCCTAGCAAGTGAGCTGAGACTGAGATAACAGACGGAGAGATGTGCAAGCCAGGGATGGAGGCTGTGCAGCCTCCGTGAGGCACTCACCCTGCTGTGCCCAGTGTAAGAGCTGGGGGAAGTTCCTGCACCAGAACCTTGGATTTCCTACTGAAACCTCAGAGGACCAATGCCAGGCCCCAGTCCGGCATCTTGATCTCCTCTCCAAATACAGAGGGAACGAAAATCCAAGAGGGGACTCGAAGTACTCGATTGCTGCATCGCTACGTCCAGTGAATGGATGCTGGTAGCACCAAGGGATTGGGTAAGGTGCTCCAGGCAGCCACCCCAGCAGGGTCCCCAGCAGGAAGATGACAGCTGGAGCTCCCAGCTTCTCCTGCCCTCCAAAGCCCCATGCAACTCAAAGTCAACTGCAAGAGGCCACTGGCACCTGTGCCACACACATACACATCAAAGTTATTTCCCAAGGACTTTCATTTCCCTGCTGTCCCTGCTGACAATATCTCCACTGGGAACAGCAGTCTGGGAAGTTGTCCCACCAGCCTGGCCCAGGGCAGTCACAGCCCCTGGCACCAGCCTCCTCTCAAAGAACAAGAGCTACCCAAGCCTTCAGTCAAATAGGGCTCATCAGTTTGGACTAAAGTCATGGGGGAGCGAGGAGCAATGGGGCTCTCCATCTACTAGTTATCCTTCAGGCAAAGATTTCGTGCTCAACCACCAAGAGGCCACCAGCCTGGAGCTCTGCCACCAACACTGCTCCTATAAACGCACCCCAGTAAGTATTTTGGTGAAAAACCCTCTCTTGGGAAGAGGAATTAGGTGGAGGGAGAAGAGAAAAATTTCAGAAGTTCAGTTCAGATTTAGTGTCTAATAGTGACCAATAAAAAAAAGCAAAAATATTTTGACATTCAGCTGATCTTTGTTTGTAAAGCTGCCAGAGGAATGCCAAAACAAAGCCAGCCTTCTGCTTCTGAGTCAAGTGAGGCAGTTTCAGGTAAAATGATCTCTTCCTTATTTTACTAAGAAAACAAACCAAAGAGAATTTCATTTTGAGTCAGTCCGGCATTTTTCTTTGATATTTCAATTAAGCCACCGATCCAAAAGCTCCTGTTTATTTACACAGCTCTAATTGCAGCCCACTCCCTTGGCTTGCTCTGAGGAGGTTTGTGTTGATGCTCTGATAAGTAAGATTCACAGGCACATTTATCAGGGAACCTCTATCAATTAGAGGGGAAAAAAACCTTTTCAATGTGCAATAAGAATGTAAATTTGAATTATTCTCAGAGAAACTAATTTCAGCTGCATGTGCCTTCAGAAGACCAGGTATTTCTTCTAATGACTGACAGGTCTGTCCCTGCTTCCATCTGTACAGCTGAAAGGAGGCTTATAAGTGCTTGAATAATAATTTATAAGCAGTTGAAAAAAAAAAAAAAAAAAGGATTTGTGCAAGAAAGGAGGAAATGATTGCAAATATCAGACCCAAAAGGAGAAGAAAAATCCATTACTGAATTTTACTGTTTCAATGACCCCCTTTCACCTCCTGCCCCAAGCTGAACATGCCCTGTAGCCCCTTTCCCTTATCCCCTATCCTCAACTCTATCAGCTGGAGCTTGGGAGAGCAAACTTGCTTTCTGAGAGAGGAAACCTCCCAATTTTTGCTGAATTCAGCACAGTTGGGCTGCATTCCCTTCCCCTCTGCAACCCTGGGCTGCCCAGCGTACTCTTATAATTCACTGTATGTTGATTTAAGACATTACCCTAAATATTCCTCTTTTCTATGCCTTTCTTTTTGCCCCAGACAGAAATATATATTCAACTTATTTGTATTATCTTCATGACCACATAGACTATTTTATATTAAATATTAGATTAGACTGCCAACAGATGAATTCCCAGCTGTCACAAACAAGTAACACTTAGCATCATCTTTACCAATGAAACTGCTCATGATTACAGATTTAGTATTTGTTTTCTACCAAGATTCTGAAATATTTACTTGAAAATATTGCTCACCATTTCTGTGAATGCTCCTGCTAATAAGCAGAAAAGCTAGGCTAGCTGCAGAAAAACAAATATGATTTAGGCACAGGAATCTCAGAAACAGTGAGTTTTAGAAGGGAGGTGAGGGACTGCAGAGGCACCTTGTGCATCTTCCCTTACCCTTGGTTTCATGGGGTGCTAACACCAGCCTGCAGCACTGCAAGGCACCAGGATGAGTTAATGGCCATGGGATTTTGGGGAGACCCTGCTGGGTGTGAAGGGAAGCCCCCAGCTGGTCAGCAGGAGATGCTTTATCCAGGGAAGGCTGCTGTGGCTTCAGCTCCTGTTCTCCACCTGTGCAGTCCCACCCTGACAGCTATTTTCTGTTAGCCACCCTGCAAACTTGTTTATCAATTTGAGGTCTGTTTTATTTATTGTTTCAAACAAATCACTCATTAAGAAGTTTGTACACCTGTCCTGACAGATGTGGGGGAAGTCTTGGGTGAAAACACAAAATGAAACAGAAAGCCCATACTAGTTATGCTGTGTTCAAGTGAGGGTTAATTCAACAGGGTGGGACTTGGTTAATTGGGGTTACTGATGGGTACAGGAAGGTTGAGACACCCAGACAAGGAGGTTACTGGAAGCAAAGAGCAGAGCCCAGGGGCATGACAGAAACAAGCTAAGGAGATTAAATTAACTACTTTGAATAAACATGTATTTTAGGTTGCTTCTTAAATTATGCTGCTTTCCCAGTAGCACATATAATACTGAGATATATGTACAGGTACAATTGTGGCAGGAAAAAGGATTTTAAAAAATCCATTTTTAAGGACTCTGTCTAGCTCCTCATTTTTAAGGTGCCCAGTTCCTTTTAGGGCTTCACCATTTTCCTGGTTTCACCACTATCATCATCTTAGTTCTCCTCTGCTCTCCCCTGCACTACATGCAGACTCCCAAGTTAAACATCTGCTTATCGCTCATCATCTTTTTGCTTATTTGTTCCTGGTTCTGATGGGCATATCTAGAAAGCAGGGCTCAAAACAGCATCTCAAATTGTCTTTTCAGTTTTAGGCCTGAAAATGTTTGTGGGAGGAATAGCAAAGCTGAGAAGAGCTTGGTTCCTTCC